CTGGGGCTGCCTCTGAGCTAAACTGGGGGTTCCCCACTGGGGTCTGCTCCCAGCACCGGGAAAGTGCCACCATCCTCCCCACGGCGATGGGAATCACCTGGGGGACCCTGGGGACCCCACGCCCCGCAGGGCTGTAAGTCCACGTAGGGGTCCCTGGGGGGTTTACTGAGCAGCCCAGCGGGGTCCCTCCACCGCCAGCACCCTCCGGCCCATTTCCATATTGCAGCCCCTCTATGGGACCCTCTCCTGGCCGGTCGCCCCGGGTGGTTCATTGGGGCGGCCCCGCAGCAGCAGTGCGAGGGGCCCCGTCCCCCCTGCACCTCATCGTCGGCCCTGTCCCCTGTGGCGCTGCCGGCGTGGTGCTCGGCGGCTCCGGTTACCGCGGGCTGGAGCGGGCGTGAGGGAGATGCAGGCGTCTTCGGCGGCGGGTGATGAATTACGGGGGGGAAGTTTCCAGTGGTGGTGCTCAGCCCCGCTAGACATTTACCTCATTAGCCGGGATGAGATCATGCAAGCTGGCCGCCCGTGTCACACACGATTAGGTGGATCGTTATGGCCCGCCCGGAGCGAGGGGCTCCCGCAGCACTCGGGGGACCCCCAGCCCTGGGGCTGCGGAGGGGTCACTGCCCCCAGCCACCCACTGCCCCATGCAGCCGCGGCAGCATCGTCATGACCCCCCATCCCGAGGAGAGCAGGGCCACGGGAGGGAAGAGCTCTACCCCCGATGTTGCCCCCCCAAACGCGGTGGCACCGCTGGGACCTGCCCAAAGGCTTCCTGCCCCTTTGCACAGCCCTCTGCCGCGGCAGCACCCAGCCTGGAGCAGAGCCTGCCCAGCCGGGTGCCGGTGCCAGCATCTCCACCATCTCCTACTCCAGCGACTGCCGGCTCCAGTATGAATGAAACCCCCCGGCTGCGGGCATCCACCGACACACCAGGCTGCATGGAAGGACCCCGACCGAGGTAGAAGATGGGGAAAACCCCAAAACCGCCAAGCGTTGTGCACGGCATCGCGTGCTGCAGCCATCCATGCGTCCTGCCAAGTCATGACCACAGACCACCCCTGCTCCCCGCTCCCCCCCACGCCCCCCCTCATTGCAGTGGGTCCGGGAGCTGCAAAAGGGCCACCTTGAGCTGGTCCCACTGAAGCAACACTCAGGACACCCGGGCAATGCCCTGGCTGGGGAGAGCGGGAAGCGTGGAGCCGTCACCCCGGGGAATCCTCAGGCAGCGAGGGCTGCTGACGGTCTCTGAAGGGAGGGCAGTAATCCACCTCAGGCCAAAACTCCTGCCAGAAAGGCAGCCGGTCTGGGCCGATGGTGTCAGGGGAGGTCGGATCCGTCACTCCAGGAGTCAAACACCGCGGCGTTGGAAACCTGATTTCCCAGGTTAAACTTGTCTGTCTTTAGCTTCCAGCTACCGGTTCCTGCTCTGACCTCCCAGCGCAGGCGTGAGCACTGCCTCCCTTGCGACACCCCACGCAGACTGGGCAGTCCCTCACTGGGAAGTGTTACCCCCAGCGTGCGGGAATTTTGTTGGCTCCTACACTTTCTCCGTGTTTGTAACGACCTTCTCAAGTAACAGGATCGTTTCCAGCCGCTGCATCGACCCTGAAGGCAGGGCACGATGCTCCCTCGTCCTCCTCGCCACGCGCCCGTGCAGAGCGG